CCAGGATGGGGCAATATGATTTCAGGTGGTGTATTTCAGAGACTAGGACAATTTGGGAGAAGATAATAGTTCAATAATTTGGACCATCCCTTGATTTCTGTGTATGATACATTTTGGAGATCTCCTACTTCTTTGGCTACTTTGGGTCACCATGGGTTTCACACGAAAAGCTGGGAACAGTTCTCTAGTCATAAGTCTCAAGGGTCAGTTTAACTACCAGGAAGAACTCTTGAGGTGTTCTTTCAGGTTCCTTCAAACCACAGCTGTGGTAGCTAATAAAGTCATTGTACTCCAATTCTGTAGAAAAACTGTCCTGAATTATCCATTTAGAAGTTACTTAAGGATGCCTGTAGCCTATATGGGCATGACAGCTTGAAAGAACAATCATTAATTCTTTTAATTGCAAACTGCATTCCTAGAACAAAGCAATGGAAACATAGTCATTTCAATTTATATGAAAACTCAAGATTTTGCATTATTTTGCTGTCACTTAGGAAAAAAAATCAAGGAAAGGCTGGCACAAATGTAAAAATTTGCAAAATACCAGATTTTACATGGTAAAATAATTACCAGATTTACTTTTGAAGTCACACTATACTGTTTATTAAGGATGAGGGTTGCAATTCAGGACAATGAAACTCTCTTACATTTCTTGAATTCTAGCTTAAAGCAAAAATGGAGAGTGTCTTTTTAAACTATGAGGGTATGCAGAGGAACCATGTGTTAGAAAGGTTTCAGCAGCACACAAAGTAATTTCTAATAAAATATTAGTGAAAGAATATGATAAAAGAAACAGAAACCACAGTGACTCCCTAAAAAACATATTTTAAAGTTTAGAAAGAAAAGAAGATTGCCAAGCTCTTTCCTTGCCTAAAAGGTACTCTTCAGTCATGCAAGACGCTGAGCAATTTTTTTCTTATCTGTAAAAGCACTTAAGCTGGAGCTTAACCTGAAGCATGTGAGAATACTACAGCAATCAGTAACTTTTTAAGTGCTTGAAGGTAAGCAACTATTAGTGTGAATTTCTAAATAAAGCCATGGTTCTCAAATTTTTTGAAGAATAAAGTTTCTATGTTATAACTGAAAAAGTCTTTCTAAAGCTCTGTCTTGCAGTTATAAAAATAATGGCTACAGATAAAAAGAAATGAATACTTGTCTCTTGGTTGTCAGAGGTCTCTGCTCTCCCTTGGATGTGCTGTCTGTTGGGCCTATGGACAGAGATTCTGAATCCTCTCATTAGGAAGACCTTGGATGAGTCCCAAGACCCTGAAATATGCCTGTGAAATCATTAACCTTCAATCATGTAATGATACGTCTGTAATAGGAACAATGAGTCAGGTTAACTTTTGAAATTACTAAAGACAATGAAAATCTAATAGCTGAGTTCAAAGATTCAGAAGCATTATTTCTCCTGATCTTAATTTACAACATCTTCTGGAAATGAGATTTGAAAGGTAGCTGCTCATTTCCTCACTCATGCTATGAGCATCCTGGAGCATGATGCTTGTTTACAACACATTTACTCATCTACATACCGTGTAGGAGAAATTATGTAATATGGTGGTAATAATTAGCTTTGACTGCAGGCAAACTCCTGAATAAAAGGCTGTATTCATGGTATTAAATAAATGAGGGGAGCTGTGACCTTTTTTATAACTTACTGGGGAAATTTTAGCCTTCACAAACAGTTATAGCTATTAAGGAAATATTTCTCATACAATCACTTTTTTCTTCTTATTGTGGATGTTAGTGCTACTGTTTAATTTCATACAGAGCAGCATATTGCTAAGCACATCAAAGAGGACAACACATATTCAGATGAGTATGATTAGTGCCATTATCTTAATGACCTGCTTACAAGATTCATAGAGTTAAAATCAAAGGAATAATAAAAAAGTCAGCAATTGTGTGTTTGGGGTTGGTTTAACTTTTTTTTTCATTATTAAATGGGATTTTTGCTTGAAAACACTGAGAAATTAATGAATATATCTGCAGATAAATATTTATTTTACTTTGAGATTATAAAATTGCAACTTTCTAAAAATCAGATGATTCTATTTTTTGCAGCTGGGCCATTCTTACTAGGAATTAATTAATTAAATTTAAATTAAATTAATTTAAATTAAATTAAATTAAATTAATTTAAATTTAAATTTAGGCCAAATATGATAATATCAAAAAACAAAAAAACAAAAAGTTTACTTATGTAGGTAAAAAACATGTGACTTGCTATCCTGGGTCAGGATAAATTCCACCTGTTGTAGTATATGATTTGGAAGCACTTAGTACTCCAGAGGGAGTTTCAAAAATCCTGCAGCAGGCTCATAAAAGTTATCTGCCTCATACCCTAAGTCTCTTCCTAATTAATAACAGAACCAAGACTGCTCTTATCTCAAAGTGTAAAGTTTAACACTCATTATATCACATGCTTATAGCTAATTAGGCTGACACTGGACTGGACTGCTCTACTTACAAAGTTTGATTCATTCTTAATTTTTCTGAATTCTTGATCTTTATAACATCTAGTGGCAATGGGTTTCACAGTATTCACATGGTGAAAAAATATTGTAACTTTAATTTTAACCTTATTGATGTTCTCTTGTGTATTAGAAAAGAGGCAATGAATTCACATTGTACCTCCTGTACATGTTTGATATTTTATTCACTGCTTTCATGTGTTGCAGGCTTACAAATCCATCTGTCAACAACTTTGCTACATCAATGCCACAGAAAATTCTAGGTCTGAAATGGCAACATCTTTTTCTGTGGCATTAGTTGTTATGAATGGACATGAGAGCTTGAATATTTAGCAGTATACTCCTTGTACATATTCATTCTGTTTTTATAGTTTTAAGAACCTTTTGTAATTCATTTCCACAAATAGAGTCAAGAGTTTCTTTTGCAAGGAAGCTTCCAATTGCTGTTGCTTTCAGTCCAAGAAACAAGAATACAGAAAAGCTATATAACAGAAGCAGAAATAGAAATAAATCTACCAGAGCATTAAACTGTGGACTGCATTTATGCAGATAATCAAAACTGATGTGGAAGTTCCAAGGCTGAAGATAACTCATACCCTTTTTCATGCACTACTTCGTGGCTCATATAAACAGGCCTCTTCAACTGCAATAATGTTGTCGGTTCAGAAACAATTAATAATATTGGCATCCTTTTTCTTGGTCACAACCTGACAGATTAAGGTGGTTATAAACCAGAAACGTTCACATGGTGGCTAAAGGATGTTCACAGCTGTGATGAATCCTTGGTCTGCTATTACTGACTCAAAAGCTGCTTTCTTTCTAGAGAATATCAGTTCCAGGGCAATAAACCCAGGCTTTCATGAGTTCAATATTCTTTAATGACTTTTTAAAATAATTATTTGAAATTGAAAATAAAAATGGATTGTATTGAATTAATACCGTGCTACAACAGGTTATTTTCTGTAGGTAGGAGTAGTACCAAAAAAAAAAAAGAAATCTGAATGCTTTGGATCACTTCAGATGTGAATATATATAGGTGAATAAATGCATTACTATACACGTGATTTCATACAAAAGGAATATTTTAAAAATTCCCTTATAGAAAAATGTGATATTTTCTCTAAACATTTCAACTCAAATAATGTTTTACAGGCTTTGTATATGAACCAAAACTGGAAAGCTCTTGCCAAAAGCTTTCTGGTCTTTTTACTGGAACTACAATTGCAGTTCCAAGCCTAGAATTCAGAGTGGCTACATGGTACTGAATTTTTGATGTGCTGATTTCAGACTGTCTCTATTTTGAGAAGGATGTCTTTTGTGCAACTTTTGAGATAAAACGTATGCAGATAAGCCCTTTTGGATGATGTATTCAGTGGTGGAGTGATCAGTCAACATTCATTTTGTGGCTGGTTACGGTACTAATTTCTGCATTAAGACCAAATTCTTGTTTAAATTCAGTGTTTCAGGCAGCATTCATACACTGACTCACTGAATGTTAAATGAAAGGCTAATTTGAAAGCAAATGATAAATCTTCATAAATTCGCTCTCATTTTGCATTCTCATCCTACATTTCCTACCCAATCCTTCCTGGGGTTTTATGGCTTTCTGTTTGTTTAAAAACATTTCTATACAGGATGTTGCAATTTTCTGTTGAATGGAGAAGGTCTTTAGGTCTTCATTCTTGGTCATAGTGGTAGCTATCATTCCCTCCATGTATCACTAAGTGAGAATACAACTTTGGATTGAGAATGTCAGGGAAAAATAAAATAATTAACTTTCAGTTTATATCCTAACATACATTACCAGTTTATAATTCCAGCTATTTTGGTGGAGTAAAATCATCTTTCTTTTACTTCCTGAGGCTGAATATACCCAAAACAACTGCTTAAACCTCTGTCTGAATGATGATGTGCACAGGTCTGTTTATGAATCGTCTTTATTATGTCTGTTTAATGGGTTTGAGGGTGCCTTGGATTCTCTTATATTGCTTTAAATCCCATCCATTCTCTTTTTAGACTCAGCAATGATAAACAGCTAGAGGCAATAACTGGATATTCAGTCCTTTTGTACGCCCTTCCTAACCTTCACATTCCATGGACAGTCTGCATGCACTGCAAATTGCAGCCAAGTGGATGCAGTCAAAGTAACAGGCAGGAGACATGTAACTTCCCCAGCACCACCCTGACAAACAAGGGCTGTTCCTTCTCAGCAGAGAGAAGTCTCATGCAGTCTCTTTTATTTACTGTTCTTGTTCCGTTAAAGGTCATTTCTTTTTACACATGATTTGTAATTCCCGTCTGCATCGAGTGTGTTTCCTTTGGAAATGACCTATTTATAATCATAATAATGCATTCCACTTACATATTATTGTCCAATAACGGGATGCTTTGGGCTTTAACAGCACTGCTTCGTTCACTTCCCGTCCAACAACTATTGAGGCATGCCGTTATATTAAACTATAACATATATTCCTCTTTAATACCCTGTTGTTTGACCAGCTTTAGATAAACTGCATGCATTACCTGATTGCTTATATATTCAAGGATAATCTCATGAAGCCTCTGCTGTCTCAGAGTGGAGTTCAGTATCTGCCAGCAAAAATAAACCATGGAAAATTATTGACTTGATAACATCCTGATTCCCAGACATTGTGATTTTAAATATTTAGATTTTCTTCTAAACAGCAACAATGCGATTTGAAAGGAATCCTAGGAATTTCAGCCACTGAAAAGGTGTCAGGGAAATTGGTCTTCAAAATTTTTACTGAAGAAGTAGAAAAGTCTTGTGGATCCAAAAAATCTCTCTAGTGAGAGAACATGCTAGTCTGGTATCTAAAATACTGACTATTATATGAGGTATTTGGGTAAGATAGAATATTGTGGTAGTTTCATTTTCTTTTTCTTTCCTAAACCATTTTTAAAAATTTTAATATTTTCAAACAGGGGTAGAAATTAAGCCATTGCTCTTGGCAGAGAAAGGAGGAAAACAGAAATTATTTTACAGGACTCTGAAGTGGTACTGAGTGATACTAAGACTTCTCAGATGTTTTTTCAGAACACAAGATTTAAACACAAGAGAGTACCAAGATTGGTCACTTGGAATGAGCTGTCATTCTGTTTGTACCATCAGTTCAGAACAAACACATAAAAAACTCCACAGGTAAATATTTCTCCCTTTTCATCTATTTTTGAAGAGGAATCAACCCATTATACAAGATTTTTATTTTTGTCTTATTGAGCTAACTGTGTTATAAATTTCCAAAATAAACAGTATCCAAATTACAAAGATATTTCTTTGTTAATCATCATATTAGCATATTTTCTCACTAGATTTATTTCTATCATTATTGAAATGCTTTTACCTACTGCAGACTATTTTTATATCTAGTTGTTTATATACAAGCAGCTAAAAAATCCAAACAAACAAGCAAACAGAGAAAAATATAAGGGCTTTTGAAATGGAAAGATTTTAGGAAGGGCCCACAGGAAGAGCCATTAAGATATATTTTACAAAAGTATCATCTGGAATCTAACAAGGGTACTTGAGTAAAAAAAAATTGATGCAAAATGTTTTTAAATAGTGAAGAACCTGGACTCTTCAAACTCATTTTAAGTGTTCTCTGTCCGTTCTTCATGTAATATGACAAACGGATTGTGTACTACTAATTTCAGACTACTCTGTTCTTCTGCCTCTTAAGGGTGAATAGGCTACTAAAACAGAAAGGGCTTTAGTTTATAAAGTGTCAAGTATTTCCCACTCCTTGAACATAAAATCCTCAAACAAGATCTTTGTGGCAAGCATAAAGTTCTCTATTCGTGCATCTTGTACAGCTTGTTGGCTCATGATAAAATATTTTCTGAAAATTTCCCATTTTAAATGTGCCTATAAACACTTTTATGCTATGATGGCTTTCTTTAGAGTTGGGATATCCTCTGCATTACTAAATACATAGTTATGAGTGTTGGACTTGCTATCTTCTCAATTCCCAACATCTGAAACCTCCACAGTCTCAGCTGTTACTTCCTTTTCATCAAAAATGTAATCTACTCTATTCCCAGTTTTTGTGCATGTTCTCTTCTACATATTTCAAAGGCTGTCTCTTTTGGTAAGATATGGAACCACTGTTTTGCAAATTCTGCTTCCAGTTTTTATTTCCTTTACATATTTGGATGAAGAGGCCCCATATGGCCTTATAGTTCTCCTGTACAGCCCAGAAGAAAGAGAATTGTTTATATTCTTGCTTCTTGATCTCCCCATAGTGAGGCTATAGGAAGACCTGGATCTAGAACCACACTCCTTCTCTACACCCTAGGAATTTACACAAATGAAGAATGAGGACAGATTTGTCATTTTTATATTGAGCCTTTTTCCTCTTCCTATCTTCTCTGGAGTATGTTGTCAAATAATTTGCTTCCATTTTGGGACCTGGAAAATGACTTTCCTACTTTGAGCTGCAATCAAAACCTGCAGCTTTCTGAATTTCTGTGGAACACATTACCTTAACACTTGCCTTTCTCCAAATTGTTTCCTGGCTCTTGGACTATTCAGCATCCTTCTCTCCTTTACATTCATCTGCTTGTGAGGTGCAAAATCTGTAGTCATAAGTCCCCACTTTCAATCTTTGCATTCCTCTCTCAGCTATTACCCACCCTATTTAGAGAAGGTAAACTTTTTAGAATTTAAAACTGTATGACTGAGGCCTATTTTAAAAATAAAAATAAAGAATACTTATATCTCTCCAGAATGAGATAACAAGATATTAATACAGAATCAGCAATGGAAGACCTGCTGCTTTTCAGAGGATATTTATTACATCACCAAAAGAAGAAGAAGGAAAGAAGTTCATTCCCAAAGGGAACTGACACTTAGTGGTGTCGAGAAGAAAAGTGTTTGAAAACATTAATGGTGTTATTATTTTAATTTTTTTGAGTTGAGGTTTCTGAACACTAATGACTTATTAATCTGGCTATGTCCCTTACAATGAGTTAAAAATAAACCTCCAAAAGTCTCACACCAGAAGTTAGAAGTCACCTAGTGCATGTTTCAGAGATAATTACAGCCCATGATATATTTATAGATTTTTATGGGACATTGGAATAAAAATCATGAGCAAAAAGGAAAGGAAGGATGAAAGAAATACTTTGCTATCACTAAGACATAATTACTATGTATGAGGAAGCAAGACACATTGTCCCACCTGATTTTCCTAAATACCAAGGAGCTTACAGAAACACTCTGCTTTTCTCTACACTAGTGATAAAATATTTTGCATTTTTAAAGTCAGAAACAAAAAATATCTTTATAAAATTACTGAAGTGCACAAAGGAAATTTTTTTTCGTCTCCATAAGTCTTGAACAGCATGACAAAAAGTCAATAAAAAGTATAGATAATGCAAGACCAAACTAAAAATGCTGCCACTTCCTACAAATCTTGCTACAACTATTATTGTGCTTTGGCTTAGGAAATATACAGATAAGTTATCTGATTTTCCTGCAGAACACATTGATTTCTCTTAAAGATGTCTTCTAAAAGATGCAAAAAAATTTCCAGCCAGTCATGCTTCAAAAATACTTATTAAAATCTATGATTTCTATTGCACTCCCAGTCAGCCTTGTCTTCCAGAAAAGGAGCAAATGCCAAACAAGTCCACTTGCTTACTTACTTGAAGGGAAAAGGGGCTAAGGAGAATGTCCCTAACTGAGGTGAAGAAAGCTAACAGCTAATTGGTCACAAATTACTGGATGCATTTATTTGTCTGATCATGGTTTTTATAATCTGTTTTGGCTCTAGAATACAGGACAAAAAAAAATATCCCAGATAATAAGGATTTCCTTGCGACAAAAAATTCATACTTGTGACAAAAAATTCATAGATACTTCTTTCATTTTATTGGTGTTTGTCTTGTCTCCATTCTCTTTATCTTCTGGCTTACCTTGTCTGGAAAAAGTCAGCAACTTCGAAAAAAATACCTAGGGACAGCTGAACTTCCCAAGAACGTGAAGTACCAGCCTAGGACATATTAAGATAAGAATCCTTTACCTTGTGCTTCCTAGACATCAAGAATTGTAGGAAGCTAATTTTTACTCCTTTCCTCAGTACCCTCAAGTTTTATTGATATTTCAAGCTCCTAGAAATAAAAGCAGAATTCTAATCATTGCTTTACCTAATAGCTGAAAAAAATGTTCCCATACTGGGTGTCAGTCCAGAGGGAATTTCTTTTGCTGTCTGAGGCAAGGAGCTCCTATGTCTTCCACTGATCATGTAGGAAGGAATTCTCGTAGAACAATTTGGAATGCCCATTTCTTTTGCAAGGAAAAACAACTTGATGATCTCAAAGGTCTTTTCCAACCTAGTTTATTCTGTGATTATTCTGTGAAAACTTTGCTGCTTCTATCTCTCCTAATAGTTTTTAAGCATACTATATGTAGAATTGTATAGTTATTGCTCTGTGCAAGTACAAGACACAGTTCTACGTGTTAGGTACAGTTTGGCACAAACAATGATGATGATGATGACTTCATGCTCAACACTTGTCACAGGTCTTAGCCAACTTCCTATTATGTAAGTACACTCAAAGCCAATGGGAATGCTTCAAAAAATCAAAAAAGTGAGGAATGAACTGCCAAAAAAAATTGTAAGACTGCAGAAATAAACCAGAGATGTAAACCTAAGTCTTTTGTAGGCTTTTGGCACATTAATTATTTAACAGGGCTTTGAAACAAATGCTTCTATTGTTGTTTAAACAATTAAATAGTTTTGAAACTTTTTCATCTTCCTTATACGCTCTAGGCTTCTCAGCTGCTTGTCTGAAGCCCATAAACTACTTTAAGAGCCTAATTCACTTAGAGTATTCTATGTGTTAGCAGAATGATGCATATTACATTTGGAATTAATTCTGAGCTGGCAAAATAGTAAGAAAAAGTCTCTCATCAAAAAGATAATAATTGTGAGATATTAAAGAAGGACATAAGACTCCTTTGCAAGATATTTTACTTCTGAACTAAAAATACAGTTACACTTTTGTCCTATTTTTACCCTCAAATGACACTGAAAGATTTTTATTAATAAAAAGTAAGAGATTACAGAGACATAATATCACAGAGCTTTTATTTAAGAATTAACCATTTATTAAACAATACATTTCCTTTCAATGCTACATATGTACATAATTAATTTATACAGGGATTTACCTGAAAAGAATAGTCTTTGAAGATAAGTATTTTTTAATTGATGGAACTTTTAAAGGGATGTAACATTTTAAATTAAATTACATTAAATGCTTTTGTGTTTACTCTGCATTAAACTCTATTTTATTTATTGTCATCTTCCCAGCATGGTCTCATCATGGTTGAAGAGGGCTGCTAATGCTATTTATATTATGCTGCACTGTCCTCTAATTGACCTTGTTTGTGCAATGGAATGGCTGCTTTTCTCAAGCTGCCAGCTCTTTATTGCTGCATTTTGACCATGCACTAGTGGCTCTTTGTGCTGCTTTTGAGTTCAAGAATCAATACTGCATTCCCCACAGCCAATAAAGGAAGCTGACAGCATGAATTAACTGAGTGTAGCCAGTTGCATGGAGGGCCAT